ACCTCCGACTAAATTTCAAAACTAGCAAACGGAGAGTGAATTGTTCACTAGAATTCGAATAAAAGTTGGTTCAGATTCGATTGATGAAATTCCGGTTCGGTTTTATTTTTGTCAAATTCAATAAACATTTGGTTGGGTTTATTGCAGCACACGAAACAAAAAAGATTATTCTCAACTTTAAAATATCTTTGGCCGTTTTCTTAATGTCTCATGTCAATGATGTCATTACATAATGGACCAAATTGTTTTGTTCTCTAAGAATATTCCAATGTTTGAAAAACTAGAACCACAACATGAATTCAATTATTGCCAATACTTAAATCAAATCAAAAACACCAAAAATAAAAGAGAGAGCTTAATAAACTTCAACATGCCACTGCTTGTTCTTCCTAAGCTGAGAAAGCTTCAAGTCCCAGCTCTCACCTCTCTCTTCTGCAACTCTCTTAAGTGTATCTTGAATCCCAGGCATCATTCCTTTAAGCCCACAAAAGTAAATATGAGCTCCATTGTCCAAAAGCTTGAAGATCTCATCGCTATAATCTTCAATCTTGTCTTGCACATACATCTTTCCACCTCTCTTGTTCTTTTCTCCCTCTCTGCTCAACGCCTTGTCGAACCTGAAATTCTCCGGATGGTCCTTTAGATACTTGGTGAACTCATCGTCGTAGAGAAGGCTATCGGTGTTGGCTACGCCTAAGAAGAGCCAAGCTAAACCGCCGAATTTGAAGTTTGGTACGTTTTCCATGAACATTCTACGTAGGTAGCCTCTGTATGGAGCCACTCCTGTTCCCGTGGCTATCATTATGTGAGTCGCGTTTGGATCATTCTCGGGTAATAGCATTACCTTCCCCGATGGACCTGGTTTCGAAAAAGTTCATTTTAAGTATTAAAAAAATAATGCTTATTCTCAATATGTGATTAGTAGTTGGTTGATATACCAGTGATTTGAATCTTGTCTCCGGGTTTTGAATCGCATAGGAAGTTGCTGCAGATTCCGTTCTTTGAAGGATCTTCTTTTCCAGTCTCGGGATCGTAATAAACAGCTCTGCGTACACACAAACTCGCTGTTTTGCCGTCAAAGAAATCTCCGTATCTCGTTGATGCAATCGAGTAAAGGCGCACATTGTGTGGTGCTCCCGGTTTCTTCGGGTTCTCACCCTACACTCATAAACATCCAGTTCATTCATAAACTAGAAGATTTAAAGAAACCATGTTACAACAGCACAAGGAACATGACGACTTACGGGAGGAATCACACCGTAACTCTGTCCTTCCCAGTAAGGAAGATTACCGTCATGATCAATCACGATATGACAAGTTTCTCCTGGCGCGTTTGGGCCCACGGCTCGCTCCACGGAAACAATCTTAGCAGTGTAAGAATCCTTTGGTTTGTACAAGTTCAAAGGAGGATCTTTAGGGTCTTCCAACTCTAGAGGAAAGACAGAAACCTTGGAACTACTTGTCTGTTGAACCGACATACATATCGTGTACCGTTTTGCTTCTCTTATGCTTGTTGTTCTCTGGTTCAATGCTAAAGAAGATGCCCATGACTTGCTGTTAAAGCTGATGCTATTGTTCTGCTGTAAAATGAAAAGCAAGATATGGTTTAAAGATCAAACTCGTATGACTCAACCGAAACATAATCCTAAGGAATGCGATATAACCAGGATTATGTGTACAAACACAGCTATATGAGAGATTAGATGCATCACCTTGAAGATGGATCTTCTAAGAGAACGATCGTTTCCAGTTGAAACTGAGAGAGAAGCAGCCTGCAAGAGAAATTACAAAAAAACCATCCGAAATCAAAAACTCTCTTCGGATATAAGAAATGAAACGAAACTTTCTGCTTGGATTTTCCCGAGAAAAATTGGATCAGTAACACAAGTCTAAATCCAAACCTCAGAACAATGAAATTCAAAAACTTTCCCTCGTTTTCTCCGCAAACAGACAAATCGAACATAAACCCAGATCAAATCCCTAATCAAAACTCTCGGCCATATCGTTGACTAAGAATCAGGAAGAAAAACAAAAAAGGGGAGATTTTTCTGACCTGAGAAACAGCAGAGTGTGACATTGTTTACGATCG